TTCCGAGACCTGAAAGCGTGCTAGAGGGGTGCACGTTTATTGGCATCACCAAATTTCTTCCGCCATTTGTTTCGCTGAAAAAATCAAATTACAACACAACCAGTTCTGGCACTATTTGATCCCCAGAAAGAACATGAAGTGTATACGGATGCTTGTTCTATCGGTTTGTCTGGAATATTACTCCAACATGAAGGTAAAGAATTCCGTCGTAGATGTACTGAAGATGAATGTAAATATGCCAGTCATGAACTCGAGGTATTAGCCATAGTCGAAACATTGGAAAGGTTCAGAATCTATTTGTTTGGGAAGTGTTTCAGGATTGTCACGGCATGCAATTCTATAGGAAGCAACATCCCCATTACCTCCATCATCCGTACAGCTAGATGATGGTTTAAATTACAGGAATTTGATTTTAAAATCATTCACAGATCTGGTGCAAAGATGACTCATGTAGATTGTATGAGCAGAAGTCCAACGCTACCATCAAGTCAAACCCGAACAGTAGCCGAAAATGTTTTGCTGCTCACGATGAATATTAACAACTAAAAATGTCACATGTTTTCGATGTCATCAATGGCCAAGGGTCAGGAGGAGCTGACGAAACTAAGCAGATCGAGAAGGATTATGTTATAGAGAATGGTAGGCTATACCGCAAACGGACAAAGGGAAAAGGTTCGTAATTCCGGAAACAATTCGGTGGCGTATTGCTAAGGCATGTCATGATGATTTGGGACACTTCGGTATAGAGAAAACTCTTCAAAGGGTGTAACGAGAGTTTTATTTCCAAAGAATGAGACGTTATGTTAAATCGTATATTCAGTCATGCCCGAAATGCTGCTACAACAAAATGAAAGGAGGCAAGTCTGAAGTCTTAACATTCAGAAGTCTTAACATTGAATTCAGCATGTACAAACCGCAGTACGAACACCACGAGCTAACGGCCAAAACGGCCGGTCTTCTTTATAGAAGAGCTGGAGGTCTTCTTCTTTAGAAGAGCTGGAGGTCTTCTTTATAGAAGAGCTGAAGTTCTTCTTTATAGAAGAGCTGAAGGTCTTCTTTAAAGAAGAGCTGAAGGTCTTCTTTATAGAAGAGCTGAAGGTCTTCTTTATAGAAGAGCTGAAGGTCTTCTTTATAGAAGAGCTGCAGGTCTTCTTTATAGAAGAGCTGAAGGTCTTCTTTATAGAAGAGCTGAAGGTCTTCTTTATAGAAGAGCTGAAGGTCTTCTTTATAGAAGAGCTGAAGGTCTTCTTTATAGAAGAGCTGAAGGTCTTCTTTATAGAAGAGCTGAAGGTCTTCTTTATAGAAGAGCTGAAGGTCTTCTTTATAGAAGAGCTGAAGGTCTTCTTTATAGAAGAGCTGAAAGTCTTCTTTATAGAAGAGCTGAAGGTCTTCTTTAAAGAAGAGCTGAAGGTCTTCTTTATAGAAGAGCTGGAGGTCTTCTTTATAGGAGAGCTGGAGGTCTTCTTTATAGAAGAGCTGAAGGTCTTCTTTATAGAAGAGCTGAAGGTCTTCTTTATAGAAGAGCTGAAGGTCTTCTTAATAGAAGAGCTGGAGGTCTTCTTTATAGAAGAGCTGGAGGTCTTCTTTATAGAAGAGCTGGAGGTCTTCTTTATAGAAGAGCTGGAGGTCTTCTTTATAGAAGAGCTGGAGGTCTTCTTTATAAAAGAGCTGGAGGTCTTCTTTATAGAAGAGCTGGAGGTCTTCTTTATAGAAGAGCTCCTTCAAATCTAGCTTTGTTTGAATCACACTATTAGCCCTTCTTCTTTTGTCTATTTCCTCACCCAAGATTCATCCACCTGTAGATCCCCAAAACATCATGCCATTCCTCAATACAAATTCCACTAAGAAAAACCAAAACGCCAATTTGACAAATCTGACGTCTGACATTTTTGGGTGTGGGGGTTAAAAAGACTCACACCACAAATTTCATGTTGTTAGAAGAAAGTGGAGAAAACCAAAAAAACATCCGACAAATATATAAATAAAAGCACACTCAAGAAGGAGAACTGCAAAAAATCCGAAAAAACATATAAAAATATATCTCTATATAATAATAACAAAAATAACAACAACACGAAGAGAAGAAAACTTACCACAATAGCCATACACATTTGAGACCAACCTAAAACCAGATGGGCGTTGTGAGAAGTCTTGGTCGGCAGCAATCCAAATTACACACCAACAAACAACCAGCGAACGAACGAATTGAGTCAAAAAAGAAATTTCACAATAATTTGTTTTTCAATTTTTCTTTCAGCTTTGAGAGACACACAAAACAATTATTTCAGGATTTGTTTGGTTTAGACAAACTTAGTTTTGCAATAAAATATTCCTTGATTTATTGCAAAATTGTTGTTAACACAAAATTATTTTTGTCAAAAAAGCATACAGAGCCATGCACCACTTTGCAACTTCCTGATTTTGTTTTACTGCTTCCTTTTTTTGCTTTACACACTTTTCTTTGGCTGCCTTTTTGTTAGCAAATTGGCAGGCAATCGGTCGATTGTAGTATTTATAACCTCACTTTTATGTGTGAGGTATTCTTCTTTTTTTGTGGTGATTAATTTTCTTCTTCCACGGAATTATTTGCAAATGAGCAAAGAAGAAAGAAAAAACAAATCAAATTGATTTTCTTTTTCTCACGCGTTTGTTGTATTTTTGCTTGCTCGATTATGATTTTTCGCGCACGATTAAACACTTTTTGTTGAGCTTTTTTTTTTATTTTGCCAAGTAGACACTCGTTTCACGGTTGGGCCTTTGTTTTACGATTTGATGTTCAAACGTTAAAATACACTAAAATATTTAACAACTTGACAGCTAGGGATGAATAGATCGTTTTGGGGCCTTTAATCGAATTTTGTCCATTTGGGGGATTGTCTCTCTTTTATTGGTTGGTATTTCAGCATTCTCTCTCATTTTTTGTGGGGTTTTCTTGGGGATTTATTTCGTTTGTAAACGATAACGATAAAATCGAGTAATCGAAATTAAAGCTATGTTTACATTGAAAATGAACAAATGTCAGTGAAAATTATATATTTGTTCAAATGTCAGCTATACCATGTTCATGAAAAAATCGGAAAAACCATGTCCACTTCGAATATTTTTCTTATTATTTTTGATAATATTAAGGCTGCAGCGAGAGTATCCACTTTTTACGAATTATCTATAAAAAATGTCAAGCAGTTGCTTTTGATTGCCTTGTCCTTTATTGAACAGCATATGTTGATTTGTTCACTTGAAGGAACTTGCTGAACCATTGCAATATAAATATTCACTAAAAGGAATTAGGGGAGTTGTATTTACTGTAAGCTCAACTCGAGATTTTTTTTTAAATTGAGTGTATGTAAGAGGAGAGTAATATCCCCTCCCTACCTATAATATGGTTCCCGGGGTGACACAATTCCACACAATTTTTATAAGTTTGCTATTAAATTATTGTCTGTTGCATTTGTTTGTGTCGTTCTTCTTTGAACAGCATCAGTTGAGTTGTTCACTGCAAGGAACTTTCGGAACAAGTCTAGTTTAGGGGCTCCACTCGGCGCACTCATGGCTACGCAATCCAAATCCTTTTTTAAAAGCAATTTTCAAATCAAATTCAAGGTTTTTTAAGTAGCCGGCCTTCGGCCGGGGCTTAAGACTTTCACCTATGAACAGACGCATACATGGCTACGCAATCCAAATCCTTTTTTAAGAGCAATTTTCAAATCAAATTCAAGGTTTTTTAAGTAGCCGGCCTTCGGCCGGGGCTTAAGACTTTCACCTATGGACAGACGCATACATGGCTACGCAATCCAAAGCCTTTTTTAAGAGCAATTTTCAAATCAAATTCAAGGTTTTTTAAGTAGCCGGCCTTCGGCCGGGGCTTAAGACTTTCACCTATGGACAGGCGCATACATGGCTACGCAATCCAAATGTTTTTTCTTTCAATTTTAGTTAATATTATATAATTTACAATGATATACTATATTTATTTCTAAAGCACTATTCAAACCCTTTAAAATGATACCCATATTGCATTGGTGGCATTAGTAAAACGGCCGTTCTAACCAAGGTATATTCCAAACTTTCAAGGCCCATATCTCGGGAAGTATGCATTTCCCCCACATAAAATATATATCACTGTAGTCAGCACAACGAGGACTACTTACGGTAAAAATTTCAAAGCGATCCGGGTGGAGCCCCTAAACTAGACTTAAGCCAAAGAAAAATCCCGAACTAGGTCTTTATTAAAGGAAATTCGTTTGGAAAGACATATGAGACATCGAAAGGACTCCTTTAGATGCTGTATCTTCAAAAAGTGAATTATAAAAAAAAATTGGAAATATAACAATGTAAACCATTTCGATCGGAATACAAAAGAATTCATTTGAAAAGTTTTATGGGACCTGGAAATAGACCCCCTCGAATGGATCTCCATCAATTATGAATATAATAGGCGATATATAACAATATATTATATATGGGTCTCCCGGTGTCCTATTTTAAATATAAATTTCTAATTAGAGACCATATTTTGGCATTCAAACAAAAATCCTATTTTTGAGCTACATGATGATCCAAATCGTTCTCCATAAACTCACGAATATATTTAATCGACATAAGGTTTTTGACGTAGATCTTACCTTTCATGTATCGGGAAGTCTGATTTCGGCAAAAATGTAATCCGCAGTGGTTTTAATCAGTGTTTTTAGGACTACATGTGGAAAAAAACCTCGAAACGATTCTCAACTGGACCCTAGACTTGAATTCTTCCCTTTCTTTTTAATGTATATATTTTAAAATTCCGGCTCTCTGTTGTTTTCCTTCCACAAAGTGTTCCCAAGAATACACAACTTTTCAACTGACTAGCTATGCGTAATCTGAGTGATTCGAATCCAGTTCGAAACATCATCATATGTTACGCATAACCAAAAATATAGCCTCTTTTTATTTTCCCTGTGGTCGTAACAAACATTTAACAAAAATTAAAAAAAAAACGCAAAATAAATAACTAAAACCTCCTAGGAGGCATCTTCCACAAACAATTTGTTCAATTCACAACACAGACGATGTAACGGCAGACCCATAACACAATAAAAATCACCATCAATGCGTGATATCAGAGCACCACCCAGACCCTGGACACCATAACCGCCAGCTTTGTCTCTGAAACATATTCAGGATTTTTATAATCTCTTTTAAATTTTCATTTTACTCCCCCCAAAACACTTACAATGGTTCACCAGTTGCAACATACGCCTCAATTTGTTCCCTTGACAATTCGCCAAAATATACATCAGCCGTTTCGGTGAAACTGCGTACCCCTTTGGAATGTTTTAGCACAACACCGGTAAAGACCGTGTTACATTTACCAGCAAGACTGTAATACATACCGGATAATCAATTAATTATAACAATAAAATTTTCCATTCCCCTCCACCCCTCTTACTTTGTTATCATCCTCAAGGCATCGGCGTTATCTTTGGGTTTACCATAAATCTCTGAACCCATTGTTACCATTGTGTCGGCAGCAATTACCAATATCTCTTCTTGATTATCACCCGTTTTTAAACGATTATATACCTCCTCAGCCTTTCCCAAGGCAGTGGCCTCTATAAATTTGGAGAAATCTTTAAAATCGGCGGGATTGAGGTTCTCCTCAAAAGTGGATGGACACAATTCAGCATTGAGACCCTTTAAATAAAGAAATTATTAATAAGAAAGCTGACCGATATAATTTTCTGTTTTCTTTACCAATGACTTGACCAATTCCTGCCTCCGCGGTGAACCACTGGCCAAAATGATACGTTTCGTGGCTAATAAATGTTTAATTGGAGCCAGCATTGTAAGGAGCTGTTGTCTGTCACCTTTTCCTGAGAATTTGTGTTGCTTTGTTTTGATTTCACGTGCAAGGGGTGTGTTCAGTGTAAGTCAATTTGGCCTTTTTTGTTTAGAATATCAGGAGAAAGAAAATTGCGAATAATGTTATGAGTCAAGGAGAAATCAAAAGAGAAACAAAAATGTAAGGAGGTATGTTCAGTGGATCACAGTTTAAATGCCCTTAGTGTATGGAAAATAAATGTATGGCTATGATTTCAATTCAATATGATTCATAAACCAGAGCTTAGCCCATTGGGCTATCTATTTTTTTATTATTTGTGAAATTTAAAGTCGAAATATATAAATTAAATTAGGTTGTGTTCAGTGTTAACAGGTAAAAGCAGTAGAGGGTATGTTCAGTGAGTTGACCTTCCCTTGCAAGAATGTGATTATAAAAAGTATATTTTATAATGGCAAATATGTAATTATGTGCTTTTTTCAATATAATTATTTTTTATTCCTTCTATCATCTTATATATGTTTATTATTGGTCCAAAAATATCAATTAAATTCAGGTTGTGTTCAGTGTTAGAAAGAAAATATGTATGGGCGTATGTTCAGTTTTTATGATTTACTGTTGAAATACCTTAGGTAAAAAACTTTATTTTATGACTGTAAATATGTAATTATGGTCTATTATAAAAATAAATTTATTTTTCTGTTGACTTTAATTAGTTAGAAGTTAAAACTGCATATAAATATGAAATAATAAAGGGTATGTTCAGTGTTGTCATAAAACTGCCATTTTGTGTTCAGTGTTAGAATGGAACAATGAATGGGGGTATGTTCAGTTTTGATGTTTTACTGTAGAAATGCTTTGTGTAAAAACCCTTTTATTTTATATTGGTAAATAAGTAATTATATTATATTATGAAAATAAATATATTTTTCCTGTTGACTTTAATCAGTTAAAAGTTAGAACGTTGAATTTAATGAGTTAAACGAAAACAACAAAGGGTATGTTCAGTGTTGGCTAAGCACTGCCATTTTATAACGGTCTAATGGTGTGTTCACGGCTGCATTGTCATCAGGCAAATTGTCGCCCTGTGCGTATGTTCAGTGCACGGCAGTTTATCACACAGAAAAAAGTGTACAACAGAAGTGCATTAAAATCTCAAAGATAGGAATGATTTTGTAGTTAATAATACACTGGAATATCAGCTTAATATATAAATTTAGTGTTACAAATGAGATGACTATATACAAAAAGTATAAATAGCGTATACAAAATATCACAGAGTATGTTTAGTGCTTTATTTTAAATTTAATAAAAAATCTTTCATTATGGCAATACAAAGCTTATTATCCTTTGCATCAACCCATTTGCTTGCGTAAAACTGTACATTGAATGTAGATGGCGTTCATCCATCAGTCGGTTTTACACGTTTAAATACATGTCACATTAGAGGGTTGGCAATTATGTATCGGACCAACGAAGTTATAGATATCAGAAAATTTACAAATTTTCAAAAAATATTATTGGAATTAAACAAATTGAATTTCCAGAAATTATTTTAATAAATCAAAAACACAACTTTTATATTTTAATAAAATATATTCAATTTTTTTATTTATTTTTTATATAGCATTTAACAAGGAGTTATTTTTATTTTGCTATCTAACTATAACTGATGATATATTATAGGTATTTAGGTATATAATTTGTGACATTGTTTGTCTTTTAACAATTATTTTTATTAAAGCTAATTTTGTTTTGCATTTGTATATAATTTACTATTCTTACAATTTGTTTGTAGCTTCGGATTTATTTTATTTAAATATATAAAACTAAACTAAATATTTGATGCATTATTTCTTTGGTAAAATTTTCCAGTAGAGTAAAAGAAGGAGAGAGCAAGATTTATTAAACAGTCTAAATATACGTTTAGATTTATGAAATCCAGATGAACTCAAATGACAATTCCCTAGCGTATATGTCAAATAAAATACAGACGCCAATCGTGTATGACATGATGAAATAATCAAACATAAACATCTGCTTTTAATTCGACCATCTGTCAAAATTTATCTAGTAATATTTCTCATGGTTGGCAACACTGCACGTCAAATTTAACTAGACAATGATGCAATAATAAGGTGATGTATCAAAACAAAAACCTTTGTTTTTGTCTCGATTTTCACATGATTTGCAACACTGCAATTCGAATTCAAGTAAAAATTACGCACTTTGACATTTAATCGAGACATCAGCTGCTATAAATGGACTACCTAAATAAATAGGTAGTCCATTTAGAACAGCTGATGATTTGATTAACTATCAAAGTGGGTAATTTCGATGGCCAATGTTGCCAACCATGTGAAATATTATAAGGAAAAATTTCACAGATGGTCGAGAAAAAAAGTTTTTGTTTTGATACATGATCTTATTATTGCATCATGGTATACACTATGCACTTTGACAGTTAACCGGATAGTCAGCTGTGTTAATGGAATACCTATTTTATACGCTATGTAGTTGACATTTGAGATCGAGTGGTTTGCGTAGTCTAAACGATCTTTAATATATTTATTTGAAAATTTTTTATAATATATTATATAGTTTATAATATTCTTTAATTTTTTGTTCTTTTTTTGCATTATAAGTAGTTAGAAAGTATGTGTGGTATATTTTAATATGCTAAATATTTTTTTTTATTACAACCTTTTTTAAGTATTAAGAATAATAATATAATATTAAAGTTTTTTGTCTTTTTTCGTTTATAAAATTCCTTTGGTTTTGTAATTTTAATGGAAGTGGCAGGGATTAAAAAAATAAGAGTAATATAATTTTCAATATTTTGGCTTTTGTTTTTTTTTTTCTAATTTTATATATTTCCCTATGGCGATGTGTCATGTTTTATTTTATATTATTGATTATTATTTTATATTATTTTTTAATTATATTTTTATTTTATATTATTTTTTAATTTTATTTTTATTTTATATTATTTTTTAATTTTATTTATTTTTTCTATTATTTTTTAATAGTAATATAATTTTTATATATTTCCCTATGGCGATGTGTCATGTTTTATTTTATATTATTTTATTTGTTCTTATTTTATATTTTTTTATTCTACTTATTTTTATTTTATATTATTTTTTATTCTATTTATTTTTATTTTATTTATTTTTTATTTTATTTCTTTTTCAATTTATTTATTTATATTTTATGATTCATATGATAAATTTCCACTATTATTTTGTTTGATAACAATTCTGTCACTGTGTAAAGCTTCTTAATTAGAAACGTAAGTATATAACCCTGTCTAGACAAATTGTAACTATAGAACCCTGTATACACAAGGCACAAAGACATACAATCGTAAAGACTGGACAAAACGCATTTTCCAATATTAGTGTCAAATTTGTGTTATAGAGGGCTACACATTTTAATGGAAAATGCACTTTTTGAAGTTCTCTCACCAAAAAAATACTTAACAGCAATGTTAATTATTTTGAAAAAAGTTAAGTTTGAGATTGTATGAAATTATTATTATAATTTTTTTTATTTTAATTTTTTTTCTTTTTGCGTGGTTTATTTGAAAAATTTCAATCAATTGCCGTCTTCCCCTGCCCCAGTTCATCTTTAACAGTCGTGACCCCATTGTCATGGGTGTAATGGTCGAAAATGGTATTGTGAAAGTTGGTACACCGATTTGTGTGCCGGGCAAGGAGTTTGTCGATATAGACATTGTCAGCTCAATCAAATCAAATCACAAAGAATTGGAAACGGCTCGCAAAGGTCAAGAGATTTGGGTTAAAATTGAACACATTACCCGGTGAATCACCAAAAACGTTTGGCCGTCATTTTGAAGCTGATGATATGTCGGTCAACGTATCGATGCTTGCAAGGATTACTTCCGTGATGATTTAATTAAGGCTGATTGAGCTCTAATGCTTGAACTGAAGAAAGTTTTCCAAATTTTATAAATTGTTTATAAATTTTTAATTTTTTTGCAATATATTTATTTCCTGCTGATGTGAATGCCTCAAAATTATGATGCGGATTCAAATAATGACCCATGAATACAAAAACAACAATGCTTTCAGGGTATGTCAGGGTATTATAGCTTTGTGCAGCCCCAAGAGTTTGTAACGCCGCGAAATGTTGGTCCTAGACCCACCGTTAAGTATACCGGTCGTCATATCTCGACTAGCTGAGTCCATCTAGACATGTGTGACCGTCCGTCAGTCTGTCCATTATTATTTGGAAACACGATACAGGCCACAGTTATGGACCAATCTTCACGAAATTTTGCATGTAGGATGGGTTCTGGTCAATGAATATCTAATGGACCAAACTCTTCATTTTTGTCGGTTTTTTGGTCGCTCCAGAGGCAACATTCTGACCCCAATGGGATCGGGGTAAAGAATAAACATGCCAGTTTTATTAAGGACCGGTCAATATTTGGCGGGTCAAATGGACCCTGAGTTTTGTGTGAAAAATGACAATATTTGTGTTCCATAGCGAAGAGAGTGGTTGACCTTTAAATTGATACCAATTATATTGTCGTATATATATACTTAGGTATTAACAGGTGTTTAGGTATTCAAATATTATTTAGTAAGCCATTACCACACTTGAGGTCGGAAATATAGCGGTGATCGCTTTGAAATGTTCCATGAGGTTCCAGTTATGGCCAAGGACAACGCCGATAATTTTCGGTGATGGTCAGATAATAATATTGGGATGACCGAAAACTTAATTTGTTGTGTTTTTGGAGTCTATAGGCCGCATCACAGCACAACCAACGGTGAAGGGAATCTGGGCAAGTAATTAGAAGGGCTGTACTGAATATTTGTAATATTTGTTGACCTCTAGTTGGTCAAGAGGGTGCAAATATTGCTCAAGCTCAGAATATAGAGCTACAGGAAATTAAATTTGTCGTACAAGTTGTGCAGGATATCATATGGTCGGCCCCGTCCGACTATACTGCTCCGCTCACTGGTTTTTAATCTATCTTATATACTTATGCCTAAAATATCCTCCGTCACTTCAAAGTTTTTCACCGATTGGCTTTATCCTAGTTCATACGATAGCTATACACTCCCAGAGAAACGTGTCAAAAGTTGGAACCGATTGGATCATTAGTATTTGAGTTATCTTGCCCGCCATTCACGAAACACTGCATCGAGAAAAATGCGTTAAAAAAGTTTGAGAATTACTCTTACCGTCACTTGATGCTGACGCAATAAATCGGCTATATCTTCAAGAGTATGGGGGACTTTGGTGTACCTTTTACATTAAATCTGACAAAACTATATAAGGGAACTATATCTAAATCTGAAATCTGAGTCGTTCGACACTTAATTCAGTACGCTATGTCAAAATTCGTACAAATCGAAAGATATATAGGGACTTTGGTACACAATTTACCTAAAACCATGTGTCCATCTCGTTTCCTTTTGCCTGTTACAAACATAAGCAAAAGACATAATAACCTGTATTTGTACCACCTTCTTTTTCGCGGTCTTTCACTATTTACATTGTGTTTTCATTGCATCGGGGGTTTACAATAATCACACAACACCACATGTGTATACAAAGTTTAATAAGTTGTCGTTTAAAACGATTCTATGGCGTAGGAGAAAGTCTTCAAATTACTAAAATTCTATGTTATTTTTGGTTATATATAATAATAATTATATATCATATGTACATACTCTCTTCTTATTGTATATTTAATACATTTATGTAGCAGCGACAAAAATTCGCCTTGTACATTGTGGAACACATCATATATATTTGCAGAATGTTGCCAGCCATATAAATTGTTTTTAAACTCTCTAGGTTTTTTCTGTCATTATTCCATTGCATTTCAGAGATTAAAAAATGTTGTTCTCTTTGTAATTAACAGAAAATGTTGTTACGATATCGTAACAACAGAGCAAAAGCCATCTAACGGCCAACTTGGAAATTCAATTGTCCTATCTTTATACTTTTATGTCTTTGCAAGGCAACCGTTAATTGTAAAGCTGTCTGGCCACATAACAAACTATTGCGGTAATGTAATATATTCTTTTAAACAATTAATTAATACTGCTATGTTAGTTATCTCAAAATTAGCTCTCTACAGGGTGTCCCAAATTTGAATGTATTTATTTTTTAATTCAATAAAAATTATATGGATTTTTTATTTATTTTTTTTGGTTTATTGTTCCCTTATAAATTCCCTTTGAATAGGGGACACCCCTGGTATATTATTACTTTATATAATTAAAAAATTCCCCAATCCCTTGTGGGCAACTATTGGCTAATTTTGGTCTAGTCATATTCATTAAAAATAAAACACGCTGTGTTTACATCTACATAATTTGTTAACTAGGCATTTTAAATCTAAAAAAATTAAATACTCTAATATGGCTCCCTATATATGTATATATAATTATATATAAATTTTTTTTTTTCAATTTGCAACTATATAATAAAAATAACAAATATATAACATTTTAGCCAATTTTTTAACACTTTGTTAAATAATTGATATTTTGTGTGTTTTTTTTTTTGTTTTCATTGACTATTCCTGAATTTATCACCTTTGGTTTTGTTGTTTTTTCTGTTTTGTTGTTGTCACATATTCAAATCGTATTCTTGAACTCTTTACCTGGATTGCGAATACATATAAATGGTATACCGAATTCAAATTCATTTACCGGCCAATATTGCAGAAGTGGCTGCCTTTGCGGCAACTCACTTTCAACAAACAAATAGGCATAGACCACCAGGAGGGTATAGGCGGCAATAAAAATGAAGACATGCCAAAAACCATGCAGATATGGAAATTTCAAACAGCAAAAGAAACGATCACTGACCCAACACAAGACGGCAATGCCCCAGACGGCGGTGGAGCGTAGGCCCAAACGGTAGACACGTTCATCTTTTACTCTGGAAAAAAGAAAGAAAAATTTAAGTTGTGGATTTTTTTGAAAAATATTTTTCAAGGTTATACACATGGCGTGGATTGTTTTAAAAATATTAATATTAAGTCTCGGATATGATAGTATTTTATTGTCTATGTGTTTTGTCCGGTTGTGGAAAATGGGGTTTGTGGCCAGCTTCAACGCTTCTTGATTATTCATCATCAACTCTACGCTACCATCGTTCTAAAATCCTAATTCTTCTAACAATCTTCTTAGATATACAGCTTCATTTGATGCATTAGATGCCGATATGTACTCCGCTTCAGTGCTGCTCAATGCTGTCGTTGTTTGTTTCTTTGATTCCCACGATATTACGGAGCCACCAAAATAAAACACAAATCCGGAGTAAGATTTCCGATCCGTAGCACAGCCACCCCAATCAACATATGCATATCCTATAAGCTTTCCATTACCAATTCCAAATTTCAATTTAACATCTTGCGTTCCCTTGAAATACTTTAAAATCTGCTTTGCCGCTTTAAAATGCTCTATATGAGGATCTGCATTCCTTTGAAATAACTTGGAAACGGAATGAAGTATATATGGACGCGATGTTACTGCTAGGTATATAAGCGCCCATATAAGCGACTGGTATAGTGTTTAATTTACCCTCTCACAATTGCCATTACATGCCGTTTGAAATCCAGGTGACAATGGTAATGATGCAGTCTTACATTCCATCATTCCATACTCTTCTAGTAGTTCGTTTATGTACATGCCATGATTAATGTCAATCTCACCCGTTTTTCCTTCACGACTTACTTCAATTCCCAAAAAATGTTCCAATAATTTTTTATCCGTTATTTCGAATTCCTTTCCAATTAATGATTGGTGTACCAACTTCTGTCGATAACTCCTCTTCAATCTTCCGTGTCATAGAAACTATCTTCATCTGATGGGTTGTCTCCAGCTTGTTTATTGGTTCCCACTCTCTATTTCTTGTTCATTTTCGTTCATTTTTCCATGATCTTCTGAATATTCATCTAAATTCTCTCTTATTTTCTTATGTGGTTTCTTATGGTTCTCACCATAATCAAAGGAAATGAATTTTCACTCTCTATTTCTTGTTAATTTTCGATATTTCCATGATCTTCTGAATATTCATCTAAATTCTCTCTTATTTTCTCAAGTGATTTCTTATGGTTCCCACCATAATCAAAGGAAATTAATTCTTTATCTTCGTCATTAAATCCACCACCTGGCTTTTTGCTTTTATCGAATATGACAAAACGACGATCTACTACTTTTTGGGTTCTGCTGTCATACAATTTATACGCTTTTGCCAATAAAGAATAGCCCACCATAATAAGACTAGAACATTTCTCTTGAAACTTGCCTTTGCTTTAAGGTGGTTATCTTTGGGTTTCCGACCACTCCATACTTTATATGGTGTCATCCCATCCAATGCCCTTGTCGGGGAACGATTTATATAAACTGCCGTTGCAACCGCTTCTGCCCACAAACTTTTATTCAAACCAGAATCGATCAATAAACACCTTGCCATTTCCACTATCGTTCGATTTGCGCGTTTTGCTACGCCACTTTGTTGGGGAGTATAAGGGACTGTTAGCTGGTGTATGATTTCATTTTCTTCTAGATATTTATTAAATTTGTTGTTACATTTCTGCTTCACAAATGCGTCTAGAATTGTCAACGATAAACGTGACAAAATATTTCGAACCACCTAGGGATTCTGTCACTACTGCCCATTTGTAATCAAATTTTACAATGCAGCTGCTTTCTCCGATGTGGTGAAAAACTTACGGTTTGAGCTGATATGGCACGTGGCTCCACTGTCAATTATTCACTTGGAATTTAAATCACCTTCTATTTTTCTGCCAACACCACCATAGACTAAGATTTATGATCTCCACTTCTCATTCTACTTTTGTTCGCATAGTGCCGTTTCTTACCACACGTGAAACATTTACCATCGTTTTCTTTTCTGTAATTCGGCTTCTTACCATTAAATCTCTTAGTTTTGCTTGCCATCGCTCCAAACGCCTGTTGACCTCCTGTAGCTTCATCACCTTTATCTTGATTCCTTCGCTCATACTCTTCCAAAAGCTTTACCTTAAAAGCGGACAAATCCGGTAACATGTCTCTTGTTTCAATTGCGACGACGAAGTTTTCGTATTTGTTTTTCCAAACTTGAAAGCAGTACAATAACTAGCAGCTCTTCCTGAATTTCGATGCCAACGTCCATGAGCTTCTCTGTTAATTCGGTGAAATCATACAAGTAATCGGCCATGCTCTTATATTCCGCAAAATGCAGGTTTAGAATTTTTTTGTACAGAGTCACTTTATATAAGGGTCCCTTGGGCCTATAGACATCTCTCAATTTTTACCACGCTTCTTTGGAGGTCTTACAATTTTTTACGTAATTTAGTTGAGACGTCTTAAGACTCAACGTAATGGTTGCCAAAACCTTCTCGTCATCAGACTACCATTCAAAAAATCATTTCTGCTGTCCAGGTTGGATCCTTGTCACATTGACCATTCATGTATTTGCAACACTCGCTATGGATCAGTACACATCTCATATGGACACTGCATGTATCATAATTCTTTTCGTCCAATTTCTCAATTTGGTACAACGACGAACTCATTTTGTTGGAAAAATTTCCTGCCACTCGTTATTGAAGATCAGCCACTTTCTTCCAACGCTCTGGGTCCATAACCTGATGGAAATATCGTATAGAGTTGTGGCGTGGGGGAATATAGATACCAAGCAACGGCTCTGATTGGCTTTATCATGGTGAAGTACAGGCTTATCTTGGTCCCTCTTTCATCTCAATTGTGGACACTGACCTCCCCGGGGTGAAATCTGGTGGACTTTTTTCATCACCCTATGAAATAGTGAGCTAATATGTGCCGCGAATTCACCCAAAAGAACTAAAAAAAATGGGTTGAGGCGCTGGGTCATTTGCCCACTCTCGGAAAACACAAGTACTATGAAAAAGCAAAGAAAAAGAAAACCAAACCGTCCAAATGTTGACGACCCCCTCAAACGTATAAAGGGCCACGATCTGCGAATCTGCACTTGGAATGTGCGCACGTTGTACAGAACAGGCGCAGTGTTCGCTTTGGCGGATGTACTCAAGAAGTACAAAGCCGATGTTATTGCCTTACAG